AAATGGAATTTAATATTGTAAAAACGGGCTTATTGCATTGCAAGGTCCGACTGTCATTGTGTGAGAGCACCTGCAGAGTTGAGTAGTGAATTATTCCAGATCTGTGTTGTTTGCCCACTCCTTAAGAGGTTTCTTCTGACTTTTTAATGTGTTTTCTATCAGCCTCTGTTCCCTTGAATCATGTTTTTTAAAAAAATCAATACACTGTGTTCCAGCAGTGGTATCTGCTTAGTTTTTCTAGGTTTCACTGAACAAAGAGTGAGGTCATTGCAGTGCAATGTAAACTTCTGCAAACTCTGTGTGGCCTGTGTTTAGTGAGCAAGTGGTTATTCATTGTCCAAGGTGATGGAGTACAAGGTGTTTCAGAATTTTGTAATGTTCCTGACTTCTGAGTTTGTCGGAAGAATGAGCCAGGACTTGCCTTTATCAATGTGGATCGAGACTCTACTCCTGATATAGACGTCATGCTTTATCTGGATAGTCAAATAAAGTGGAAAGACAGTGTCTGCAGTGACCGGCTAGGTCCCACGTCTGTGCTGAATTGGCTGATCTCGACCAGGGACAAATTTGGGGTAGTTCAATGGGCCTTCCTTTGCACCAGGCGTTATGAGGAAGATTTAGCAGTATGGTACCAGAGATGAGGGACTTCAGTTATGTGGAGAGACGAGAGCAGCTAGTATTGTTCTCCTTAGAGCAGAGAAGGTTAAGGGTAGATTTAATTTGAGGTGTTCAAAATTATTAGGGGTTTTGATAGAGTAGATAAGGAGAAACTCTTTCCACTGGTGGGTGGGTCAGTAATCAAAAGACACAGATTCGAGAAAATTGGCAAATGAACCAGAGGAGAGACGAGGAAACATTTTTGTGTGCTGCGAGTTGTTATGATCTGGAATGCACTGCCTGAAAGGGTGGTGGAAGCAGATTCAATAATAACTTTCAAAAGGCAATTGGATATTTACTTGAAGAGATTTACAAGGCTATGGGGTAAGAGCAGGGAGTGGGACTAATTGGATAGCTCGCAGAGGCGATGTATGAAAAATGGTACCTTGCTCCTGTGAAACTGCCCCAGGAAGAGAACAAAGCTCTTTAAAAAAATTGGTTGGGCAGCAAGCAAGAGAGAGGGAAGCAAGTAGGAGAAAGGGAAGCGTTGTGATCCTGTGATTTTTGTATGAAAGATTTTCGGATTGAATGCAGTAAATTATCTAGATTGCATTTTGCTTTTTTTTGTTATATAATTATAGCAGCTTGCATTTATGTAATAATCCTTGCATTTAATATAGCGCTTTATCAAGTTTTTGAGACGTCTCAAAGCGCTTTGCAGGATACACTGTAAAATGAATTGACTATATTTTGTGGGCGAATTTTGTGCCCTTTGCACAGAATAGTGCCTTGGAACGCTGTACAGGGGCAGGTATGGATGCTGAGCAATAGAGGACGGGGTGGAAACCAGAGTCAATGAGGTAAAATTTAAAGATAGATAAAGAGGAGGCAAGGCGGAGGATTTGAGGCAGGGATTTCCAGAAGTTAGGGGCGTAGTTGCTAAAGGCACGGCGACCAACCGTGGTGTGGAGGGGTCAGGGGATACGTAGCAGGCCTGTGTTAGCCGAGCAAAAGAGGCAGGCAGAAGAGTGACATACAAGCAAGTGGAAGATTTACTGGAAGCAAAATGAGATGTTAACCATATCTAACACGTGTCTGAGTCAACTAACCCCCTTAGATCTCCTTCAGCTTTCCGCTTGGCAAGTTCTGTGACATACATGAGTGTTTCCTATTCTAGTTTCCTCTATGTAGTACCTTGCATTTATCGGCATTAAACTTAATTTGCCACCTATCAGCCCACCTGTATATGTTCTATTTGTAAAATGTTTTACTGCCTCCTCTGATTCCACAGTCCCCGGGGGAAACGATCATAATGCAGACTGATCTAGACTCTAGAATTGACGATTGCTGCCCTCGGCCTTCCCACCCATCCCCCCTCCTGCCCCCCCACTCCTGCCCCCCCCCCCCCCCCTGCCGATGGAGCATCCTCGTACACAGCCTTGATCTCACGATCCTCACACTTGTCTTCAAATCCCTTCGTGCCTGGCACCTCCCTACCTCTCTGACCTGCTTACTCCCCAATCCACTAGTCGTTGCCTCCGCTCGACTGGCTCTGGCATCCTGCTTGTGGTGGTGGCTCCACTTTCAAACACTTCGCCCCAAAACTCTCTCCCTCCATCCTTTAGCCTTCCCTCATCCTTCCCCATCTTCAGGTCGCGCCTGAAGACCTTCCTCTCCAACCATGCTTACAGTCACCTCCCCTGGCTCGGCACCCTGCTCTGTCAATGTCAAGCGTTCTGGGAAGCTTCTCTGCGTTAGGGACATAATATAATAATGCAAGGTGTTGTTGTTGTTTGTTGAGGACAGGTTTTTTCTTGACTGCCCTCCCCTTCTCGGAGAAATAACTAACGTGCGGACATTCACCGTCTCGCCCACTGGTGACAATCGACTGCTTGAGTAGAAGCCACGTGTGCGCGGCGCCCTCAGAACAAGTGCAGTGTGAGTCACTGCCTTCAGGGATACAGGGGAGAAAATTACAGTATTTGTAGGAAAGTAATTGCTCATTTTGCATTGACAGTAGAAAGAGGATTTTATAAATGGTTTGATTTAAGAGCTGCTCTTGAAATGTCAAGCCTTCGGAAAGGTTTGGCAGAGAGCAAAGCTATGTTTTTTCTCCTAAAAAAAAGAAACGGGCAATTGACCTTTTATTTGCTAATCGTTGCTGTTGAAAGGAACCAGTGATCTGCCCCTTCGCTCGCTCTGCAGAGAACATCTGCTGATCTGTCAGAGGAGGACAATTAAGTTTCTTCAATTCCTAGATTCTCGTGTTTCCTCGCTGGAGTTATTTTTGTTTATAGATCATCCCAAGGATTTCTGCTTTGTTTCTCAACCTCTCCTTCCCACCTCTTCGAACAAGCTACTGACTCTTGCTAGAGTAATGTTCCACGGCTAGCTACCTTGCCCCAAGTGGCTATTCATATGTCAGCCTTGGTGACCAACCATGGGGTCCCATCAGATGGGAACGACTCGCACCCAAGTCCAATCATGTCCACATCTCGAGATCCACACACACAGGTGGTTTACAGTGAGTTGTTTTACAGTAAGGAAATGTAACTGAATATTGCTTCCACAGCCTGGGGCACTGGTGCTAATTGTAACATCCCCATTGAGACTGGCTGAGATCATCATGATGACATCAAACCTGGCATTAGTGCACAGTGTGTGTCAGAACCTCCAGGACAGATCCTGATCTGTACGGCTCTGTTTCACGCCGGGCTCTTTAATAATCCTTGCATTTGATATAGCGCTTTTCACGTAGTTCTAGTGCCCACTGTGTTCTTCCTGTTTCTTGAGGTAATTAGACTTGTTGGAATTCATCTCAACTGCCAGTACTTGTCCTGCCATGATTGCATCTGTCAGCCTAAATATAGCTATCTCTGGTTTCTGATGCAGAATTGTGTTTAAGACATCACTGGATTGGTGAAGTGTGCAGCCGAGAAAAAACACTGTTCTGTTACACAAACGATAGGTTGGGCACCAAGCCAAATTCGGCTGCAAAGTATGCGCCTTGATCTTACTTAAGTCCACGTGAGAGTGCACTAGCACACTCCGAACTTCAAAATCAGAACAGTACTGTGCGACTGGGAAGAGCAATCAAATCTGCCGTATCACCAGCTTTTCATCTCGTTAATGTGCGCTGATTGAAAGCATGCTGCAAGTTGAGACATCAACAGCAAGCAACGGAGAACCTGTAGCTGCTAAAGCTGACGTAAACTTTTCACATACTGTTTGGTGTTTGCCCACTAAAGTGATCTCTTGTGCTTCACAAGTTTCCAATAGTTGCCGAGATTTATCATGTGCTTCTACAGGATCTGCGTCCCAATACAGGGGGAGCTTATAAACACTGAGCACACAGGCCCTGTAAGCGATGTTTTAATTCACTTGATTTGCCGCCTTTTTGATTGTGAAATACGGGGTTGCTTTTAGCTCCGTGCGCAAGTTCTGAGCTTCACACAAGACTTCTGATCACTTTCCAGAGGCACCTGCCGAAAAGAGTGTTTATGTGGGTGTTAGTTGAGGAAATAATTTTTTTCACGCAAAGTGTGGTAGAAGTCTGGAACTCTCTCCCCAAAAGTCTGTGGATCGAGTAACCGTTTTCTACTTGCTGCTAGATGAACAGAGGCGTGTGGAGTAATAAAACTTGCCTAAAATTTTGCCCCGCTAGGAATTGAATCCAGATCCTCTCGTTTGCGGGGCGAGTACTCTAATCCCTTTAAGACTCCAGCTTCAAAATAGTCACAGTCCCAAGTCGGAGGTGTAGATTTGTTGCATGTCGCAGATTTGTTGGCTTGCAGTGAATGTTCTGTACACAATTCTCCACAATGTGTTTGCCATGTACTTCAGACTGTCGGGCAGCCAAAAGGTGAAGGTGTGTGAGTGTGTGAGACTGACCTCATTGGAGTGTGTACGCTAGAGATGGGCCAACAATCCCCAAGAAAAAATTGTCATTCGCTCGTGGCTGTTTGTGGGACATTGCTGCGTGCAAATTGGCTGCTGCGTTCACTTACAAATACGTGGTCTTTGTACATTGCAGTCAAATTATAGCAGTTGGATAATTATATGGAGAGGACAAATTAGCAGGGCTATGGGGAGGAAGCGGGGGAATGGGATCGATTTGGATTGCTCTTTTCAAAGAGCCAGCACAGACACGATGGGCCGAATGGCCTCCTTCTGTGTTGTATAATTCTATGATTCTTTGAAGTCCAGTGAAGCGTTTTGAAACATCTTGATGACATAAGCGTTTATACCAAATACAAGGACTATTATTCAAGTGTGGACATTACATGCTAAAGTGTAACCTCTACATCGCTGTTCATGGCGCATTAAAAGCTGAACTTTCTCTTCTGATTGTCTAAGAGGAAAGTAGACAAGATTTACCAACACACTTTTCGTTTTCTATGCAGGTTTCCCATCGGGGCATGGAACCATTGAATAGCCGGACTCAGTCGTTTATCCCGGTGAAGATGTGATTTGGCTCTTTGTTCAGAGAGGAGCTCTATAACTTGTAAATGGCACAAATATGCACATGTGTGAAAAAGTCTGCCTCAGAGTAACAGAGTACAGTGCATAACGTCTCGCTCTCTGGTTCAGCAACTCATTGCCTCGCTTCGCTCCCTCAACCTTGCCCCGACGGAGCCTGCACCCCGCGATCCCCATTTTACCAAAGGCAGGGAAATGGTCGTCTGTTTAGTGGAGGCTGTCGAGACAATCGAGCGAGGAGTATGACCAGTTTAAAGCGTTCACAGACCGAGAGGGTCGGCAGCACCTCGCTCATGCTCGGACCCGAACTGACCATAGGCGGGCGTTCTGATGACTTTTACGCCCGGCGGTTCAGAGCGCCCAACGGCAGCATGCTGGGGGCTGGCGGCATGGTGCCACCCCGCAGCGAGAGCTCCCATCACCTGGGAGCCATGCCGAGCATGCCCAAAATGGGGGTGCGGGCGAGGATCGCCGACTGGCCTCCCAGAAAGGACGCAGCCAAAGAGTCCTGCAGGACGAGCGACCAGGACTCCACGGGCAGTCCCGACGGCACCGTTCTGTCCATCCACTCGATCAGCCCCAACCACCAGTACAGCCACAGCAACCAGAATTCCCTGGAGTCCGGGGCCTCGAGGAAGATGCTGGGCGGAGACTACCAAAGCAAGTCGAAAGAGATGGAGAACTTGGATTGTCGTTTCCTGTCGCCGGACGGCTACCTGCGGCCGCCGGGAAGCCGCTTACGCCGCATCCGGCAGCGCAGCAACAGCGACATCACCATCAGCGAGCTGGACATGGATGGGGTGGAGGAGTGTGGGGCACTGAGCCACAAGGCGGGCACCACCATCCACCGCGAGTACGGCAGCACCTCCTCCATCGACAACCACGGGATGATGGGGGACAGCTTCTTCGACATACTGAGGGGTTATCGAAACGAAAACGATGACCAGCGAAGCCCAGCCCCCGAGCAGCTGTGTGACCTGCTGAAGGCCGGCCCTAGCCACGGCTACGGCCTGAGCATGGACAGCGCCAGGCACGACTATGTGGACGGCGTGTACTCGCACAGGGACAGCCCCAGGCCACACCACAAGGAGAGGGAGAAACCACTGAAGAGACGCTCCAAGTCGGAGACGGGGGATTCCTCCATCTTCCGCAAACTGCGCAACGCCAAAGGCGAGTGCGAGCTGAGCAAGTCGGCGGACATCGAGGACAGCAAGTCGGAGGACAGCTTGAAGGGCTGGGCTTGCCAGAAGTGCTTCGCTCACTACGACGTGCAGAGCGTGCTGTTCGACTTGAACGAGGCCATGATGAACCGGCACAACGTGATCAAGAGGAGGAACACCACGACCGGGGCCTCCGCGGCAGCCGCTGCCTCGCTGGCCGCCAGCCCCCTAGCCCACTCCGTGAGCTTCAGCTCGCCCTCGGGCAGCACCGAGGACCTGAACTCCAAGGAGAACCTGAACATGGACTACGGGGATGAGAAGAGCAATGAGCTGGTCCTCAGCTGCTCCTACTTCAGGAACGAGATCGGCGGCGAAGGCGAGCGTAAGATTAGCCTGTCCAGGTCCAACTCCGGGTCCTTCAGCGGATTCGAAAACGCTTCCTTCGAATCGTCCTTGAGCTCCCATTGCACCAACGCGGGCGTCGCTGTGTTGGAGGTGCCGAAGGAGAACCTGGCGGTGCATTCCGACAAAGTGAAGAGATACATCGTGGAGCATGTGGACCTCGGCGCCTACTACTATCGGAAATATTTCCATCAAAAAGGTAAGGCTGTTTTCTGGCTCGAGGTGGGGGGTGGGGTGGGGGGGGATTATCGCTATCAATGGCTCCGGTGCAGGAAGGGGGTTACAGATACAGTTGTTTGTGTTGTTGGATTAATTGTTCTGACTTGCACTCTCCACTTTGCAATGGAAGAATCCCTCGGTTTCTCTCTCTCTCTCCCTCCCCCCTCCCCCCCATTTCTCTCCCCCAACAACAACTTTTGCATTTGTCTCTCCACGCAGTGTAGCGTCCCAGGACAGTGGCAGAGCACGACGCCATCGCCTTGGAAGCCAGCTCAGCCCCAAAGAGACTCCGATTAACCCCCTCCCCCACGTTAATCACCAATTAGCCCATTCTATGAATAAAATCTTTGTCAGATAAAACAGCAATAATAAATGTCATAATACTGGGACTTGGTATCGCAACTTATTACATCAAAACGTCAGTGTTTCAAACTGTTGCTTTGACGTCTTGTGACTTTTTATGGAAAGACTTTTATGTAAATAACATCCCACAAAGAAATGACCAGATCATCTGTTTAGTGGTGAATTTAGCTCAGAGAGCGTATCAGCCAGGAGATTCCAACGCTTCAAGATTGCGCCGTGTGATCTTTAATGCCCGCCTGGTGGCTCAAGCGAATCGAACCCGGGTCCCCCCCTCGCTTGAGAGGCGAACGCTCTAACCACTACACTACTGGATTCCACAGTCCGTCAATCGACTAAAATAGGAGCAGAGCATTCGGGAGTTAGCAGAGCTAGGAAGACAATTGGCGAGAGGAGTAAAATAAAGTAAAGATTGCAGTGCCGGGTTTTCAGGGCCAACGATTCAGGAATGTGTCTGCTGCAATTTAATTCAAAGTGGATGTAGGTCTCATTTGTTCTCTCCCTGGGCACAGTACATGCTGCAATCCTCAGTGATACAGACAGATCAACAGTGAAGACCGTGCTTATCATCCGACACTTCCCCATCTCGGGTTTGCATTTTAAGCGGTCCTGTAAGGCATTTTGTGTTAATGACCCATTACGTATTCCCCAGGATTTCAAAATACCCGCATCATAACGACTTAATCAAGGCAATTATCATGGAAATATAATTGAATTATTCATGAGCTAAATTAACTGGATTAAGATTGGAGTGCCAGGTCAACCTTATTAGTCGCGATAGTAATAAAACTGTTCCCCTGACTTTCCTCAGGGGAGCAAAACTCCAGGACAGTTATTGGCTCAGTAATCTGGGAAATGTGTTGTAACAGCTAGGGGTGAGTTTTAGCACATTGCTGGCAATTCCAAACTAAACTGCTTTCCTGCCCCGATTCTGCGTTTTCCTTTTATGATTTGTCTACGTTGTAAAGGCTCATTAAACCCATCACCGCAGTATCTATTCTGTCTCATTTCCAGGTTCACTTCAGTCAGTTGGTGTGCTACAAAAAAACATTGTCAGTTGTTTTCATTGTGCTGGTGTGCTGCATTATTTGCTGTTCCTATATGAAGACCAGTGAAATTTCAACTGCGTGTTTCACAATCCGTGAGGGCGCATATTAAGTGGAGCTGCCCTCAATAGTTGGAGTGAACAGCTGGGAAATGGGAATAATGACAGTGCCCATTGATGGAGGAGAAGGACAAGTCCTAGTCATTCTTTGCTTGTGCACATTCGATGTGGCCTTCGGTGTTCAGACCGCCAGCCATTGAAGTGTATCAGCTGAGCCCGAGTGCTCTGTGGTTTGGATTTCAATGGCTGGTGTGATCTGGCCTCTGGACCATAACCATAGCAGCTGTGAAACCTGAAACCACTGCACAATGTGCTCTACACAACTGCACAAAATGCATGGTCACTCCACTTTACAGTGTACACCTGTGAAGCGCTTTCGGATGTGTTCCAAAGGTGCTGTACCAAATGTAAAGATTCTTATTTTATTCGGAAAGCATGTGTCACATCCTATCTGAAAATGGGGGAAGATGGGGAAGGATTGAAGTGTTCAGAGTCCATGTTCAGGGTGGTGCCTTAAGGTGCCCAAGGTGCCCAGATGCTCTGCCCTGATCGGGAAGATCAGCCGCCACTCTTGAAGTTTGGGTTAAATTTGGTTGGAGCAATGAGGAGACAAAGTAGAGAGAAAGAGAGTGTTCCTCATCATGGTTGCATGATTGACTGACTTCCATCGAAGACTAAAATTTATTTTCCTCCGGAAGGCGCTTAATGCAGACTGACGTCAATTCTCCAAGCGCTTCACAGTATTTTACTCGGAAGTGTAGTGACTGTATTTTGTGGGGAACACAGCAGTCAATTTGTCCACATCACTGCCATGAAGTGAGTGACCAATTTGTTATTTTTTTGGTGGAGGGAGTGTGGGGGATTGTTGGCCAAGGAGAAACTCCTTTCAAATTGTGCCACGGGGTCTTTAACGTCCATCTGAACAGGCCGACAAGGCCTCGGTTTAACATTCCATCTGAAGGACTTAACAACTGTTGTAAGGCATCTGGACATTTTGCAGGTCACACTTTAGGCTAGGTTTGATGACATACTTCAGTCAGTGTCTTATTGTAACATGTTGCATGAGAACAGGGTGATGTTAATGACTTTGGTGCACACGATCTGCCTCTTAACAGCTATTTCCTGAGGTGTGAGCCAAGCTGTGATCAGACATTGTAATTCTCAATGATTCTCAATTTATTCTCATTTTGATCAGCACAGTATCAGCATGGTCCCTAGATTATTAAATTATGTATTTTTAATACAATTTTATTATTCAGCCTTTTGTTCGGTGTGAGAATCACCTTATAACTCAGTTTTACAAGGAAACAATATAAAATTAAATGCTTGTGTTTTTATGAATAACCTATCTCTTTGCCCGCACATGGGGTCACCCCCCCTTCTCCCTCACTTAGCTTTGAATGGTGCGATAAGGCGCTCTTATCAAATGCAGGGATTATTATTATTATGATTATAAATGCAAGTTGTTGTTTGCTTGGATTAGTTTTATTCATGTGTTGAATATTTTTAAAAACTATGTACTGATTTAATCGTACAAGCTCTCGCTGGGAGATGAGGTAAATGTGCAGATAAGCACATAAAACCTCCAATGCTGGAATCTCAGTGGCAAACCTCCACTAACACTTCAGCTGTTCTCAGCAGAGCCAGAGAGCGCCTTATGGAGCAGAGTTGCAGCTTGTCCAACGCAGTATCCCCAGTGGCTGAGATGATGTCTGCTGGCAGATGCAAACCTGTAAAAGTAAAATAAAGAGGACAACGTTGTTATCAGGCCATCATGTGCACTTAAAATATTTAAAGCATTTTGATACAGCACGGTGAAGTCAAGCATGAACAACTATTGAAAGACAGCAGTGAGCTGAGCTGGGTACTGGTTTCTGTCACTGAGAACAACATGAGTTAGCAAAAGCTGCCTCCCAAAGTTCGGTACTTCATTTAATCATAGAATGGAAAAAGTGAAAGGGGAATTGCTCAAAAAACAGGAATAATGAGGTACATCCCATCAGATATGGTGTATTTGAGATAAATCTCTTATCCCACAAAATACAGTCAATCCACGTTCCAATATACACTTGTGAAACTCTTTGAGATGTCTCAGTGACTTGATTGGTGCTATATCAAATGCAAGGATTATTATTGTTGATATTGTATTGTTATTGTAAGTGCTTACTTTCTCTTTGCATGAGAAACCACTGTATAAAACTCAGTAAATAAGGCATTATCGTTGTTGCATCAGTCCTGCATTAAGAGCATCAAAGAAAACATCCGTTTGCAACACGGTTACAATCGCCAGGCACAACATTGAAGCTGGGAACAAAGTTGTGGCACTAGAGAAGCTGGGCTGAAGATGGCCTTCCTGATAACTGGTTCTAGCTGTTGATTTGCTGCTGTATCAAGAAATTTTTCCTATTGCTTTGTCAACCCATGATTCTGGGCTCATTCCAGCTGCCTGAGTTTATGTGAAAGTGTTGTCTGGGTTTACTTTCCCTATCAATCTAACCATTATTCACTTGCATGATATCCTCCCGGAGACATCGCCTTTTGAGGATGATCCCCTATTTACTGAGTTGCGTACAGCGGTTTCTCATGCAAGGAGAAAAGAAGCAATTATAGGATAAGAGGTTTATTTCAACCAAACCACTTCTGATGCACAGTATCTCATTACCCCTATTTTATGGCCAATACTCCTTTTCTCCCTTCCTCCTGTGGTTAAATGAAGTACAATTTAATTTAAACACAACTATTTGTGGGACTGCTATGCACAATTGGCTGCTGTGTTTCGCCCACAAAATACACGGTCTTAAACGACAGCCTACACTTTAGAATATATCCTGTGAAGTGCTTTGAGAAGTCTCGACGACGTGATAAGGCGCTATATCAGTGCAAGGATAATTATTATTATTATTATTACCAAACTTCTTCAGCACTCGGTTACTTGATGACTGAATTATTTCATTGTAATATTTGCCATATTGCCAGGGAATTTCCGTAATAGCGGATTGCCTGGGTAGGAGAAACAAACCAGTTTCCATCCAGCTCCAATCTCATCCATATCTACCTGTGTACTTTGGCTTCTATCCCCAGCTCTGGTGCCCAGCCAGCAGGGCTAAGCAGTTCGAGATACCTTTCAGATATGAGATAATTATCCTTGCATTTGATATACTGCCTTATTACATCTTCGCAACGTCTCAAAGAGTTTCACAGAATATACTGTAACAGAATATACTTTTGTGGGTGAATCGCGCCAGCCAATTGTGTAATGTTGAATGTTTTACCCAGTCAGTTTGCTTTGCGATGTGAGTAATCATTTTTTGTACAAGTTATTTTGTCGTTTCCTTGTGACTCTCTCGCCACCACCTCTTGGCTGCTCTCATACCTATTCGCCCGGGAGGCTGCCTTGCAGTGTCTCCCCAGCTGGTGACTGTGTGAGACTGTTGTTGGCAAACCAGTCTCACTCCTTGCATTTTAGCTTGCTTTTCCATCTCTTCAGCGCAACATTAAAATGCAGTGTAATTCGC